TTTGTACGTAAAGGAGTGTGTATATTAACATAGTAATCCTTTTAAAGTACATACAAGTACTTTAAAAAAAGAATTAAAAAAATGTACTTTTTGAAAGGGTACCATCCCAGTGATAGTTTTTGTATCTACATATATGCATTTTTTTAAAAAGATTTTTCATTTAAAATTATAATCAAGCCGTCATTTTGAATAAACTGTTCAAACGAGCAATATTGCCTTGGCAACTGGTTGAAAAGAATTGTTTTCAGAAAACATCATGGCCCTGTACTGCGACATTAGCAATTGTTTTAAAATACTATTATGTTACATTCTTATTCTAAACCGGATTTATTTTCTTAATGAATATGTAGCTTACATATTATATTAAAATGTGTTATTTTACTGACATCAGTGTGCAAAACATTCTCATTCTTAACTAAAAGTCTCCACTGTGAAAAAAAAAAAAAAAAAAAAAAAAAAAAAAAAAAAAAAAAAAAAATGCTGAGCTCCACACAATTCCTTCATGCTTTCCCAACACAAATCGATTAAACCAACTTAATAAAGTTTTACAAATTTAAGTGGATTGTACATAAAACAATTAAGTTGTCCCCCGCCAAAAAAACATTAAGAATCGTGTTGTTTCAAATCCTTTTAAATAAGTAATTTAAATAAACAGCAAGTCATATTTTGACAGGTGAATAAAAAGTGATTAGTTAAAAAAGTGAGTAAACTCATTACCTTCAAATTATTCGATAAAACTCTTTAGTTTACTAAACAATGGTGCAGTATGTAAAGTTTGACACCCAGTGGTTGACCTAGGTATTGCAACCCCTGGTTCAAAACACAGGCAAGAGTAGGTTGCCGACATCAACGAAGGCTGATTTTAAAAGTTCTAACTAAAAGCAAAGACAGATGGAAAACTATTTCCCATATTAAAATGAGATTTTGTCCTAACCAACACCTGAAATGTATGTTTTGGAAATGGCTTATTTCTGAAACTGACAATTATCACCTCAGGTACACCTCACATGCTTTATTCAGTGTTAAATTCTATTAATGCGAGTTTGAATGGCATGTTAAATGACGTTTATTGCCCTACTAAAAGCAGCAGGAGATAGTTTTGCTAAAATAAACCGTTTGAATTGGATCTTCAGAACTGTGCAGGCCAACACATATCAGTGATTCAGCATCTACATTTAATAATGTTAAACAAGTTTAATATGTATTAATTAGATTATAAACCTTACCATTTCGTTGGAGTGCAGTACGTGCACTATTCTGTGCTTCTGAATGGCTGTATTTAACTTTGTCATGTTTTGTCTGGTGCAAACAGTCAAATTGCTCATCACTGCAAATCTCATAGTATAGCGTGTTTTTAGGACACAGGGTTACAATTTAACCTGCTCACCAAATGTTAACGTTCATAATACTTCTATTATTTGCGAATTAATAACCACCTCATGTGGAACTCTGAATCTGCATCTCATTTCAGAGTCAGCTACTGTCCACCAGAGGTCGTATTTCAGTCGTGGACACATGCTTTGAGAGCCTTTATGACTGAATAAATCACACCAAGGCAACCCGAGATGCTGAAATATAACTGGCTAAACTGGCATTGTGCAGGTTAAAGGGACCAAAAACAGAAACCAAAGCAGACGTTCCAGCACATAACGCACATTTTCAAAGCAGAATATCAGACTTCAGCATTGTTTTTCAGATAAACAAAAACATTCACTTCAGCATGTTTCTTAAACATCTGCAAACATTTGATGGCATTTTTATGCTTTAGAAGAGTCAAAAACGTACATACAGCACCTTTAATGTTTTAAAGTTACAACATAAATACTTAATTTTTTTTTATTTTACAAAAATCAACTAGTCTTTAAGGCAATAGGTTTACTTTTACGGCCAGTAATCACTTTTTGCAGTGTGGGATGCGTCACATTCACTAATACTGCAGTATGAGCACCAACAGATAGTAGAGCGGTTTCATTGACAGCCCTTAAAACAGAGAAGACCATCATGTACTTCCTTGATTAAAAGCCTCAGGAATTTGAATAGTAGGAAAGCATGAATTTGCCTAATATGAAAATGCAGGGAAACCGACGTGCAGACACGCTCTTCACATGAAAACCCATCAGCTTAATTAAACACTAGACGAACGAGAGCTCAATAAAACAAAACCACAACCATAGAAGAAGAAAAAACAGAAGACTTCCAGTGCTTCGGACTTTATTAGAGCCACGGCAATAAAAGCAATCCGAAAAAAAATGAAGAGAAACAAACGACGACACAAAAAGGACAAGGTTTACAGAGTTTTACATACAGGAGAGAAAATGAAAGCTGTACAAGAGGAGATGATAAAAACACTTAGATGAAGAGAAATGAGAGAGAGAGAGAGAGGGATGAGAGAATAGGAAAGGCTGGAAAGAGCAGAGTGATGATCGATCAGCCGGCGGGACGCGTCTGTGATGAAGTTTATCTGCGCAGGGAAGAGCAAGAAAAAGTGGTGATGGACGGGGCAGAGGGAAAACCAGACAACACATCAAAATAGGGAAGAAACCACGACACACGGGAGCTGCGGTGATCCAAAATGGACGCTGGTTAATTATTATTAAGAGTTCATTTGTAAAGTGCCCCTGTTGTTTTATTTTAAGGCTGCCTGTTTTGTTTTCGTCTCCTGTAATGAGTTTATATCCATCCAAAACATTCATTAAATAAGTTAACTAAACACTTCCTGTCCGATAACTGAATTAAAGCACATTTAAAGGAGGCTTTCTATAATACAAAAGGTTTCTTTATTGCACCAAATTAATTTGAAAGGATCATTAAATATTATAGGATTGAAGCCACCCTTATTATTTAAAAAAAAGATGAGATTATTCTGCTATTAATAATAACAATAATGAATTCTCATTTCTCTCTGTTTATAGACTATAAGAGTCTAAATATGAAACTACAAGACAACTGAACAGAATTTACAAATATGATCCATTAAAAATAAGAGGCTGTGAACTTTTTTATTATAGATATTTATCCAAATCCCCACCAAAAACTGAATTTTAGCCCTTATAATAATAATAATAATAATGTGTAAAAATTTACACCCTCTTTTTTTATTGCCTTGTATTTCCTTTAGGAGCATTAAAGAATGTTTTCTCTGTAAT